CTTTGTAATTGAAAGAGTTTGATGGATACTGTTTCTGATAACATAAACCAATAGGGCAAGATGATGTGAAATTGGTGACTTTTGTGTTCAATCATTCAAAGTTTTATGCTTTTCTTGATAAAGTTGCATTATAGTTATTATTCGGACTAAAAATTATATAACAGCACTAAAAGGACCTTTCAACTTGGTCCAAGTTTAGATCACAATAGAAATCTTTACGATGGTGTCAGACCCAGGACACACAAACTGTTGACCTATGAATTGCACTATATGTATTTGCATGCAAACGAAACTCAACCACTAACTTTTCATATTGGACACCGACAGTGATCAGCTGCGAGGCTCTGTCTCTCCCGTACACCGTGCAAGTCAGTCCACCGGTCTGCACCAGCGGCAACCCATCAGCTGGTGACCAGTGTCACTTCTTCTGTTTGAATGATTTCACCCTTGTTGGGGGCGTGCCATCAAAGTCTTGCAACAAGCAAGGAGTTTGGGAGGGTGGTATCGGCGACCTACCAACAAATTGTGAAGGTATGCCTGTCTCAAGAATTCTTTTTTTTTCCACACAAGATACTACTACTACTGTCATGCTGATTCAACCCAGAACGATAAACTTTGACTGCATGTGATATGCTGATTCAACCCAGAACGATAAACTTTGACTGCATGTGATATGCTGATTCAACCCAGAACGATAACCTTTGACTGCATGTGATATGCTGATTCAACCCAGAACGATAAAATTTGACTGCATGTGATACGCTGATTCAACCCAGAATGATAAACTTTGACTGCATGTGATATGCTGATTCAACCCAGAACGATAAACTTTGACTGCATGTGATATGCTGATTCAACCCAGGACGATAAACTTTGACTGCATGTGATATTTTATTTTAGTTAGGGGTGCAAGGACATTTTGTAAAAGGATTACTATACTTGAAAGTGTTTCAAATTGTCACAAGAGATTAATCCAGTTAGCCCCACCCACGGCGTGCGTTATACGCACGTTCATACATGTCAGGTGTTTTTGTGCATATGTTGGACGTAAATCACAGGTGTGATTGGTTGAAAGACCACTGGGTGGGGCTTAATGGATCATTCAATTATACATGAATAGCACATCATCAAGCTGTTCGGTGTTTGTTGTATAACTGTATTAATGGTTGTTATTTGAGGGAATTTTGTGCATGTAACTATGACAAAGCTGGAGATAAAATACAGTCAGAACAATTGCAGTTAACCTTCGAAATATATTCCGGTACTTAAGGCAATAGATAAAAAATGTTTTGACTGTCGTGGCCAGTAAATTTCTCAGTTGAACTTTGAACTCTTTTAAACAAGTTCTTCCTCAGCAGTGATGAGAATGATATGACTAATGTTTGAATGCCATTGTTGCATACCAGGTACCTATGTATTGTAAAGATACCATTTGCATTTGTGCACATTCAGATGAAAATATTCCCACACACATGCCTATTAAGTTCCAGACTCCTAGCTGCATCATGCTCATTATTCCTCTCCTACTCACAGATCAAATTGCTCCTGTTGTCACCTGCCCCAGTGACATCCGAGCCTCTTTAGAAGATGCAGAAGGTGTTTCTGTGACCTTTGACATCCCTACGGCACGTGACAATGACCCATTGGGTAACCTGACGTTGATGACATCACCAGCTGACATAGACTCGCCGTACATTTTCAATGAGTCTACACAGGTGGTTTACATCTTTACTGATGTAGCCAACAATTCTGCTACCTGTGCTTTTCTTGTGCAAATCTTTGGTGAGTTAAATTGTTAGATTTCAGGAGAAAGATGTGAATATAACAACTCATGCTCAGAAGTTTATATTCACTGTCTTTGGTGTCGCATCATTTCCAGCATATAACCGTATTGTTGTGTATGTTAGACGAGAGAGAGCCCATTGTTGTGTTTTGCCCGACCTTTGGCTACAACATCACCACCAAGACGTCATTGACGGAGGTGACTTGGGAGGAACCAATCTTTGAGGACCCCTCGGGAGATGAGCTGGAAATCAGCAACAACAGGGGGTCAGGAAACACTGCTGTCTTCCCATGGGGGACACACGCAGTGGTGTACACGGCCACCGACAGTAGTAACGGCAAGACTGCAATATGTGAATTCCTTGTGGAGATCCGACGTAAGTTTAAAACTCGGGGTCCCATTTATGTAAACTCAAAGCCAAGTCTTTACAGGAAAGCTACATGATGCATCAAATTCTGATTAAGACTAGTTCCTACAAAAAAGGATTATGTTGCCCTAGAACTATCTGCCAGACATTCAGTAAACTTCAGTCTTTCCCAGTATATGAATCTGAAATATGTTACACTAAGAGGAACAGACATTTTGCAAAATTGTTAGGATATTAGTAGTCTGCTTGAGTACTTGACTGCAACTAAAGCAAGACTGTCAGTCTCAATCATTCCACAACCGAAATTAAAGGGGTTTGCTGTCATGAAAAGCTGATGAAATATATTTTTCAAATATGTACAAATAATTTGCATAAATGTTAATAAAAAACCAAGAATCAGTGGTGGCATTAGGGTAAAGTTTTTTCAGGGATACCTTTTAAATGTGCTTACAGATTATAACAGTGTGAAACCATTATTGCTTTAATTTAATCACAGCTGCAGGCTGTTCGAGACTGAATATTCCTGATAATGGCGGACTGGCTTGTGATGAGTGGAACTACGGGCATTTGTGCACCATGTTTTGTAACAAAGATTACGACATTCCTCGACTTAGCAGTAGTCAGAGACCGCCCAAGCAGTATGTGTGTGGCTTGTCTGGTTTCTGGAGGCCTCATAGCTTTGTGCCAGATTGCTCAGGTGAAAATTGCCATTGTTGTCTGTTATTTATAAAACCCATACGTTCCTGTACTGCTCCTTACTTCCAATGGCTACTAAAGGACCTGCCAAAGGAGGGAGCCATAACCCCCAAAAGCTCCCTGCCCCACTTCCATCACCTTGGCTGCTATGTACTCTCTATTTTGCCCTAAACCACCCAGCCCATTAATCTATCAACTATTCCAACCTGCAGTCTAGTTTTAATGACCTTGACATGCAGTCATTTTTATTGTAATATCTATATGTGTGCTCATTGGAGTCATACATAGAGTTGCTGTACATATTTTTTCAGAGCTTAGAAGGGTTTGCTTAGCAGGAGGATGTCAGCTAAAATTTTACACTCTGTGTATAGTTTATTGTTTGTAATGGTGCTTAGCTGATTTGGTGCTTATTACAATCATATTCACATCATGTGCCCCTCCTAAACCTGCATTCAAATTGTCAGAAACAAGGCGTCCTGGCCGAGCAAACCTCCCCTGTGAATTGATGTACTTCACCGGCGATTGCAACAGTCAAGAAACCAAGGACAGCATTGCCGCCGCCTTCATTGAACTCTTAAAGAGCTCCACCTTCAAGGATGCGTGTGACTCTACTGATGAGTGCACTATTGGGAATGTTCGGGTTACCTGTGGTGCAACGGACAGTGGTCGAAGGAGGAGAAGTCTCGCTGCTGCTAATGCCCAGGAAACTTATGGCATCCGACGGCAAAGGCATCCATGGAGTGCTGAACGAGAAACTGCAAAGTGGAACCAAATGCAGTCACAGTTCAACAAGATGGAGGGAAATCTGCCAAGACGACAGCCCAGGAAAACGACGGAGTGGGAAGCACTCATCAGTTTTGAATTCAGCGTGCCTGTCCCCCATGCTGGAGACAGCTTTAATGCAACATTAGAGGCAGAAAATGTGATGATTAAGATCGCTGAAGGTTTCATCTCTGATCTGGAAGATGGGACTTTACCCCCTCTTAATGTGCCAGGGCTCACGACAGTCTTGAAAGACAACTCCATGACTTATGGCTACGCTGAGATCTTATGTGAACCTGGATATGTTGCTAACAATGAAGACTATGTATGCAGTAAGTACAAGTTATCCATGACATTTTTCCACAGAATGGTATACAGAAATCTGAAATAGGGGATCGAGCCAAATTCTTAAAAATGCTAGCAAAGATCGTAAACCATTAATGTAACCCAAGTAACTCATTCCAGCTCAAGCCACCATATCATAATGCAACTGAACCTAGTTCAACCAACTCTCCCTATCCAGCCCTACATACCCTGACCCAACCCAGGACGACCCTCCCCAACTCAACTCACTCCAACCCTACTCAACCCCCACCCCTACTTAATTTAAACTGAACTAACTTGACCCAACCCAACCTAACTGCTGTCAACCTGTGTGCTGTCCATGAAAAAGACTTTGAATGCTGCTTTATGCAGGTCTAGATTCAAGTATCAGTTTAGTTTCTGGAAATCTCATCAACGATCTGATTTAGTTTGTTGAAGTTGAATGAAAGTTTGGGAAGTTAAAATTTTTTAGTGTCGATCTTGAATCAATGATCACACAGTACAAATCAAAACAATTAGAATATCTCGTTTCAACCCATTTTGTTATAATCTAATCAGTGGTGATTTTTTCTGTCATTAATCAGGTGCCTGCAGTTCAGGATTTTTATATGACAACTCAACCAGTGAGTGCCGTTTTTGTCCCAGAGGGTACTATCAAACTGAGCAGGCACAGTTTTCTTGTGATCAGTGCCCCCCTGGAACCACAACAGTGGTTGAAGGCGCCAACAATAAAACGTGGTGTGAAGGTGATCAAGCTTTATTGCAAATTTCTTTCCTGAAATGTTTTCTTTTGTTTTATGAGGGTTTGTTCTTTGTTTTACCTTTTCAATCCTTCATCAGTTATTGTTTAGTTTCTGTTATTCATTATGGGGCTAAAAAAAAAGAGCTGTATTGGTTTCAGAAAACTTTATGTATTGAATAGATCAAGAGGTGAAATGAAATGTAAATTTCTGGCAATTTTATGATCACTTTTTTTGCCACCCAAGTTTGCTTTACATATGGCACAACAGTGTAACATAAACTTTTCAAACAGTTATATTTTGATTGGATTTTAATCAGAGGCCTGCCTGGCTGGTAATTTTTCATCCAATGGCATTGTTCCGTGCTTCAAATGCATGCTGGGAGAGTATCAACCATTACCTGGTCAGACATCATGCGTCGCCTGCCCCAATGGCACAACAACACAGGACTATGGAGCTCAGTCCCTCAACCAATGTCTGGGTATGGTCTTTGTTTTTCTGCATGGAATTTCATGGGTATGGAAATAGAAAAATATATTGAAATTGTTCCTTTGGAAACACAGCTTCAGAATTTATTATGCATGAGAAAGATTCAGAGGCAGCCCCCCTTCATATGGGGACAAAAGAAAAAATATATAATACAGGGAAAGAGAATTATATTTACCAAAGTTACTCATCAAAATTTTTAAAAGCAGTTGATTTCCTCTTCGTTTTTGGCTGGTATTTTTTACATTTCGTATTTGCCCTTCATTGACCGATATTGATAACACTGTATATTCAGTTTTGTCCATGGGCTTGTGAAAAAAATATTTAGGAGCGTACCGGGGTGGGACTCAAACTCACAATCTGTTTACTAGTGCAGATGTCTCAACCACCAAGCTTGCCGAGGACGAGGTCAGCCGGCTGGTTCAAATCAAAAAGGCAGTGGAGGCTGCTCTAAATGTTATAAAATGTAACTGTTACATATTTATGAAAGATCACATCTTATAAATAAACAGAGAATGATGTTTAGCAAAGTTATATGCATCAAAACTTTGGACGGAAGTTGATTTTCTCTTCCCTTTAGGCTGAGTTTGGTTTCCACAAGGAAGAAAACTACAGGATTCATTAACAGTGTCCTCTGAATTTCTGTTACTTTAGAAATATGCAGCCCTGGCAATGTGTCAGACACGGGATTGGCTCCCTGCAGACCATGTGACCGTCGCACCTACCAGCCTTTACCCCAGCAACGTCATTGTATACTCTGCCCAGGCAATACTACAACTTTGACAAGTGGGGCCACCTCTGTCGATGACTGTCAAGGTACATTGTGGGTTGAGTCCTCTTTCTGTATAGTCTTGATAATATCATTATTCCCATGGCTCAATATAATTGCACTCTTTGTGGTAATTCCACCACAGCGAGTTGAAACAACAGAAGTTTAAATATAAGTGAAGTTGTTTCCTTATGACAAAAACTTGTTTTCTGGTTGGAAGTTCAAATTTGGCTCGTTGAAGTCTCATTCAACCGAATGCAAATATCAGCTTCTCCTGAATTTTTTGACAAAACACCACAGATTCCTACCAACTGAGGCTGTAGGTGACCATGTATTGAAATTCATTCTGTCTGGCACTGTGAAACGTTTAGCAGGGCCATGTTGAAATGTTGGATGAAATCGTCTTGCCTAAGTCCAAACTCCCAATGTTACCACTTACAGACATTAATGAATGCGACAGTTCGCCGTGTGAGCACCAGGCTACCTGCGTAGATCTGATTGACAGTTACCGATGTGACTGTCCGCCAGGCTTTCAAGGAGTCCACTGCGATGAGGATATTGACGACTGTGCCGATCACAGATGTGTGAATGGTGCAACCTGCGTTGATGGGATCACAGATTATCATTGTCAGTGCAGTAACGGATATGAAGGTTTGTCATTTATAGAGCTTAGTGCAGAGGGATTTCTTGTCTCTACCTACCGTCTCTCCACTGTCTGGTGGTCAGGAGCATATAACTCCAGATCTTTGGGTAATTTTGCAATCTGTGGGCTTGTTTCCAGCTCTTGGAGCCACCATGCTCGTCTGTATGTGAGATAACTGGTCACTCTTTGCCTCTCTCCACCCAGATGCAAACAGATGCACACGTGGGCAGAGATGTTTAAATGTTTGAAGAGACCCAAACCATGGGGGTCCTACTGACATAATGCAGTGTTTACTGTGATGCATTGTGGGTGAATGGTGGGGAAGACAGTATGCACACTATTGCTACAACATCATGCCCATGAAAAAAATGGTCAAAATGATCCAGAGATTGAGAAGGCCTATATTTTTCAAAATGGTTTGTGATGATGATTGCCAGAGCTGCATTTTTCAAGCTTCCCCGAGACCGCAAGTTTGCTCCTTCTAAAGTCGCACAAAGTCTGTGACTGACAATTGTGTCTGCCATCTTTGATTCTCCTATCTCCACTTTTCACCCACAGCATACTGCGGTAAACAATGCGTTTACATATTATGGTTTGGGTCTATTGATCATTTGCCTTTAATGCCAAAGTGGAATCACCAAGTTGTATGCATACCCAGTAGTCGATGCAAAGATATTTAAGAAATATTCTTTGGTTACCTGCTGAGTTGGTATTGATGAGGCACCTGGATTGCTAACATGGTCCATGTATGTCCTTTGTGTCCGGAATCATTTCTCAGTGTTATTGTTAGTATGTTCATCCTTTTCTGTCATCCAGAAATCAAATTCATTTGTTGTCCATATTTCATGCAGATGATTTTGCAAATAATGGGCTTCTTTATCCGAAAATGTGCAGGGAAATTTTGTGAGATAAACATCGACGAGTGTGCATCGTTGCCTTGCAAGCATGAAGGAGTATGCTATGATGAAGTAAATAGCTATCGCTGCCAATGCACATCAAACTATCATGGAGTCCATTGTGAACTGGAGGTGAATAGGTGAGAATCACAAATAACCTCCAGCAACTTTCTAAGGGATGCTCTTTGAATAAGGGAAGAGAAACGTGATAGGGTAAGCCAGATAGGGACCTGGGGATGGTTGTGGACTAAAAAGTGACGGAAAAGCACAAATCAATCGTAAATTCATGAATTTTTTTTCCATGCCTTTTACCTCATCCTTGGTGAATTAAGCATCCCTCCAGCCACGTCTGTGGTGTGTGCCTCACACGCACAGCAAATTGTCTTTATATAAATGCGATAAAAAATGCAGTTAAGCCAAAGTTAGAGTGAAGTTCTGTCCCATTGGCTATATTGCGCATGCCTATGTCACAATGATGATTGTCATACGAAGACAGGAGTTCGTAACAAAGAGTGATTTCATATTAAACCAGGAAAGTGTGTAGATCAGTTGGTATTTGTATCATCTGTGAAAACTATGCACTCAAATCAGCTGTTAAGAATGAGTCAACTTTCAGAGGTATTCTAAATACATATATGGGTGCAGAAAATACTGAAAGTAGCATGTGAAAATCACATGATCAGAATCTTTACTGTCCAGATTTCTGACAAATATGCATACAAGACAAAATTGAATTCTTAAACATTGGTTTGAATCAGTTGAATAAGGCTGCTTGACAAATGTTGGGTCTTTTCAATCTTGATGTCCCTTGTACAATGGATGACCTTTGTATATTCTTTGACTTGTCTTGTTTCCAGTTGCTCTCCAACTCCCTGTCTTAATGGTGCAACTTGTCATGGCTTTGGTAGCGGGTACCAGTGTGAGTGTGCACCAGGATACAGTGGTGATCACTGTACCTTGGACATCAATGAATGCTCTAGCAATCCGTGCCAGAATGGGGCTGTATGCCAAGATATGCCCAATAGTTACAACTGCATATGCGCTGCCGGTTACGAAGGTACACACTGCGAGAACGATGTGGATTGGTGCGCCGAATCACCTTGTCATGATGGCTCAACGTGCATGGATCTAGGGTCGACCTTCCGCTGTGTTTGCCCTCTGGACAGAGTCGGTGACCTCTGCGATACTGCAAAGACGCCATGCCACAGTGCTCCCTGTGTAAACGATGCCACCTGTGCTGTCAATGCAGACGACCCAGACTTGTACACCTGTCATTGTGTGGCTGGTTACACTGGCCTCCACTGTGAGAAAGATTACAACGAGTGTGCCTCGCAGCCTTGTTCTAACGGAGGCACTTGCATTGATGAGCTCAGTGCATTTATGTGCAAATGCCCACCAGGATTTGAAGGTAAGGACTGATGAGTTGTTGAAGTTGAGTTGTCTGAAAATTATCATTGAGAAACACTTAGTGAGGTTTTCCATAAAGCTAAGTTTTATTACTTAAATATATTGTTTGTCATTATAGGGGTGGTCATTAACAGAAATTTAACTGATTGATTCTTTATAAGGAGAGACGTGCTCAAGTGACATCAATGAGTGTTCCTCCAATCCCTGTGGAGATGGTAACTTTTGTGAAGATGACGTCAATGGCTACATCTGCATGTGCAGACCAGGCTTGACTGGTCCCCATTGTGAAGACTACATTAACTACTGCAAGCCCTCTGCATGCCAGCATGGGTCCACTTGTAGTAATACAGGCGCAGGGTACCAGTGCACATGTGCTGATGGCTTTGCTGGTATGGGTCTAGAGAACGACATAGTCATAATGTACACTGGCTGCTAGAAAGAAATCTTGTTTATAAGTGTTCGTCCTGCTTGACATTTTTCCAAAGTTTTATCTCCTATATGCTGTGAGATATAAAAAAGCAATTCTTACAGTTACAGTGGACTGATGCTAAAATCACTCGACGAAAAAGGTTGAGGTGCCGTAAAAGTAAGGACGGGCAATGTAAAATCATAATTTTTGCCAGAAAAACATTTACCAAGATCAAGTTTACCGCAACAACCTTTGAGTTTGAACACACCAAAAAGAATTTATTTCATGTCCATTTGTCTACATCACCGATTGCTCTAGTTTAGAAAAAATCCAGTGAGAATGTGGATGGAGTAATTGTAGTGAGTATTCATACACCCAAAAGTAAAAGGACATGTTGAGCTTGTGCTTCCATCAGCATTTGGTGATGACCCAAGTGACTCCTGTTAAGGAGGATCCATGACTATCCTTTATGCCATCTGTTAACAGGGATAAACTGTGAGGTCAATATTGACGAGTGTGCTTCAGGACCTTGCCAGCATGGTGGATATTGTATGGACCACGTCAATGGATATGCCTGCGAGTGTCAGGCAGGCTTCACTGGAACATTCTGTCATATTAACATCGACGACTGCACCCAAGAGTAAGCGGGCCAGATCCAGATTTCTAGTAGTTGCTCTCAGAACTGGAAAATCAAATGTTTTAGTGTTCTTCTGGAAGTGCCTAAATTTTTTTGTCTGTGTTTTGTTTGAGAAAGACATTTTTGGCCCCTTTACTGAGAAGAGTAAGGTTTTCATGTTACGTTCTTATTCTCAAGTAGGTGGCAGCATAAGTCATGTGATTGCATTGGCTCATTGTCAGTGAGTAACTTTCTTGATTGGCTTGATTTGCCCAAAGTAGCAAACCTAATCAGGATATCCAGTTTTGAATTAAAGGATATTTTCGTAATTAATATTCCTTGTAATGTTTGTGTTTTTAGAAATTCATATGTGAGATTCTAGCCTTTTCACACACACAGTGCCTGCCAGAATAATGCTACTTGCATTGATGGAGTCAGTGACTTTACTTGCATCTGTTTGGATGGCTTCACTGGTACCCACTGTGAGGGACCAGTTGACTACTGCCAGAGCGATCCCTGTCAACACAGTGGCATATGTCAGAATAACCCACCCGGCTACAGTTGCTTCTGCCTGCCAGGATTTGGGGGTTGTAATTGCGAAGAGAACTTTGATGAATGCTCTTCATTTCCCTGCGTGCATGCTTCGTCTTGCGTAGATGGTGTCAACAACTACACGTGTACTTGCAATGGGGGCTACGATGGCATCAACTGTGAGCATGAAATTGATGAGTGTGCAAGCAGTCCCTGCTTGTACGGCGGAACGTGCTTGGATCTTGTTGCTGGCTTTGTGTGCAACTGCATTGAAGGCCGAAGTGGTGACAAGTGTGACCTAGAAGTGGATAGGTGTCAAGAACATCCGTGCCTTAACGCAGGAACATGCCGAGATGAGATCATTGGGTTTACATGTGTTTGTGCAGACGGGTACACAGGTAAGTTTACGCAAATCACTTTTGTAGTAAATTTCTGTGTCTGAGAATTTTACATGGAACACTAGTGTGTATGATAATACTCAAACAGAACACCATCGTAACACACCAGCTAGGTACATGCTCATTTACATAGTCTGAATTATGAGAGCTGCTCTGCAAAAAGGGGCCATATATGTACGTCAGAGTGCAACAACTTTGCTTGTTACAAAAGTGACAAAAACTGTCCCAAATGTAAGAACTTAAAGCACTTTATGACTTTTCACTAACAAACCAAAGCTTACTTTGCCCTTATCTGTAAAGGAAGGGCATTTTTCGTTAGATGGGCAATTCAAATTATGGAACTAAAGGTTTTGAGAGACGTAACAAACAGATTTGAACTTCTGATTGAAAGCTGCTGTTTGTAAAGACATTCATATGATGCCAAGGTTAATCTATAATGAATGGTATCTCATCTAGGGCAAATAGACATGTTCTTAGATATTTCGTGTCTTGTCTTACAGGTGAACTCTGTGAGACAGATATTGATGAGTGTGGTTCAGTCCCTTGTCAGCATGGAGGTGAATGTGAGGATCAGCTTAATGCCTACGTCTGTCACTGCTCACCGGGCTTCAAGGGAACAAACTGTGACATGGAGATCAACGAGTGCCAAGAACTCAACGTTGAGTGTCAGCACGGAGGGACTTGTATTGATAAGGTAAAAGACAGACACGTAGAGGGAACCTTGTTTGGTAAGATTTCATCCCTGTGACCTTCAAAATTTGTCAAGAAACTGTTCTGTGCAACACAGAAAATGGCAAACATTCCCTGCTCCTTCTAAAACCCAGAAAATTTCCACCTTGCTTGTATTGCTTATCATTATTACTTCAGGTGGCCAACTTTGAGTGCTTGTGTTCACCTGGCTATGGAGGGCGATACTGCTTGGATGAAATTAATGAATGCAATTCTGACCCCTGTCAAAATGGAGCTACCTGTGTGGATGAGGAAGCTGCATTCTCCTGTCACTGTCCAACAGGTAAAGTCTTCCAGATCTTTTCTCACTTTGAAATGCTCCTGGTGAAGATGGAGTTTTCATGAAGTTGGCCTAATATCCTGTGTCAATTTTTTCCTTGCTTAAGAACGACACTCCAATTTAATAACAAATTGTCTAGTTGTACAATGTGTCAGAGAACCACCCCTTTGTGTGTGTGGATTCGACCACACAAACAACCACACCTTTTTGATGTGACCTTATTACTAATATTAATCATTTCTGGTAATGACACCAAGGTTTCCTCAAAGTTGCCCTAGGCACTGTAGCTCACAAGCCTGAAGAAACCTGTAGAGAGGAGACAATGAGAAGAAATTACAGTTGTAGAGGTGGGAGGAAAACCCCAGAGGAATATTCTGGGTAAAACCCACGGAATCAGATAGGGACTGAAAACCCAATCCACATGTGGACCGAGCTAGGATTGGAACCCCAACCTGGTCGGCAGAGGTGGAAGGCGAGGAAAGAACCACTGCACTAACTTCTCTACCTACAAAAACTGTAAGTTTGTAAAAACTGCAGTTGTGGTTATGTGCAGTAGTAACAAAACCATCATGATTCTTGACCGTCTTGGATCCATATTTTCAGGATTTGCCGGGCCGCTGTGTGAGGTCCTGATGGATCTCTGTTTGGACATCCCCTGCAGTAATGGGGCCACCTGCTCTCCAATGCCTGGCGGCTTCACATGTACCTGTCCTGCTGGCTACAGGTGTGTTCACAAGATTATTGGTTGGAACAGGACCAAGCTAGTTCCCTCGCCATTTTAATTTGTCTGTGTGCTGGAAACGTAAAACAGACCAGCAGTATAGTGCTGGACAAATACCTTTTGAATTTCTTTTTGATTCATGTTCTTAAACCAGGAATTATTTTTCCATCAGAGTTTAAGGTGATTTTGCAAACTTTCCAAGAATTTGATAGACCACCAGCAAGCTACATTTTGTTTGCAGCAGTTTTTGCAATAAATGGCAGGATTATTTTACTTTCGCAGCGGTGAGTTGTGTGACCTGGATGTGGATGAGTGTAGCAGCCAGCCTTGTCTACACCAAGCATCGTGTGTAGATGAAGTTAATGGTTACCAGTGTGCTTGCTTACCAGGGTTCATGGGAGACCAATGTGAAACCGGTAATTTCAGTGCATTGTTTATTGGCATTTGGTCAGGTCAAAATGTAAAAGTTAATAAGAGTAAAATGTTAATGGTAGGGGCTGATTCCTTCTTATTTGAATTTGTTTTGTATAGTTCAATTTAAACCCCTAGTATAGCTTTCTTGAAACATTTGCAAAGGTACAGTTCCTCGTTAATTGCACTGTGATAATTGAAGTAAAGTTTGAAATGAATATTGAGTGAATGGAGTACTCACATTTTTGATTGATCATCAAACTTCCCAGTTTATAAAATCAGCTGTTGAAAAGTATGTATTGTCACTACTTGAACTTTCAAAACCAAAGAACTGAAATTATGTGAAATTCCATTTATTTATTTACAGAGTTACCAAGCGATTTTGACTTGCACTTTTCCAACCTGTCTGCTGGAGCTAATCTCATCCAAACATCAGGCCTGACCTGTCACAACCTTGAGGCTCTCTCCACCGTGCTCTGGGTCAGATCCAAGCGTTGTCATGGTGATTTCATCCTCCTAAAGCTGTCCACACTCAGTGGGACAGCCGTCAAGTTGAGCAACCCCAGTGAACTTACATTGAACATCCTGGGGTGAGTCGGAAGAGGACATTGACCAATCGGCTGGACATCAGTCACTGTATTGAACAACAGCTTGATGCAAAGAATCTCACTTAAAAAGACATTCACTGAATATCAAAGTTGATTGATTTGTACTTCATGAAATTGCATCTTACACGCAGAAATGAATGTGTTTTCAGCATCTAGCCTAGCATAGAAAATTCCACAACTGTTTGAAATAAATCTAGAAGACCATGTAGGCTTTGAGATGACACTAAGATTGTCTAAACAGTTTTCAGGAAAAAAGAGAACCTGTTACCCCGGATGAAATTTTAAGCATAAACACACAGTCATGAATTGCTTCAACGTCAAAAGCACAAGGCAGAAGGGGGGCAGTGCCCCCCCATTGTTTTGACTGGGGGGCCTGGTCCACCCACTTATTGCAGGTTTTATAATTGGATGGGGCATAATGGATTGACCTATTAATGACTGATGCCTGATGGTCTAACAACTGCCCCCCCCACATTGAAAATTGTTCCGCCGCCGGTGGTGTTAACCTTTGTTTCTATAATTGATACTGCTCAATAGACTATTACACTTTTGAGGACTGGTTTTTGAATGAAAGATTGACTATTCAGGTCAAAAATGTTTCCTGTGTTCCTCTATTTTGTGGTAAAACCATGCAAGGCCATAGATAAAACAGATTTTTGTCGATGTTTCATCACTCAGTCATGAAACGACTCTAAGAGATTCCCCCAACCTGTGTGACGGGATGTGGCATAGCGTGCTGTTGACTTGGCATGCTCTTGATGACAGTCAAGAATGGAAGCTGTACATTGATCTATCTGCAGTGTTTTCTGGCTCTTACTCAGAGAGCTCCTCAGTAACAATACCAGCAGGACTTAAGCTCACGCTGGGTCATGAAACTGGCCTGAATGGTATGTACTTCTTAAAATACCTTTCCAACTTTGTCTGGTTTATTGTCAACTAAACTCATTAACTACACATTTCTTAAAAACAGTTCCGAATATTGTATTGTACGTATTTATTTGATGTATTGAAAATTCCTGCCTTTTTTGTTCACACTTGCCAGGGAAATAAAAGGTATTTCTGTTGTGGATTTTGTAACCGTTGGTCAGATCCCAGTGGAGCTTCAGAGCTGACACTGAGCGGTGTGAGCATATGGAGCAAGTCATGGAGTGAAGCTGAGGTGCCTGACATTGCATCATCATGCAGACCGTTATCTCCTGCTGACGTGTTTGCGTGGAGTGAGATCATGATCATACCCAGCCCTGGCATCACACAGACTTTGAGGGCACCCTCTGAGTGCGATGGTGAGTATAGATTATCAGTTATCTGCAGTTCTTTGTTCAGCTATTAGACAACTTCAACATAGTTACATTAAAATTCCTCCTGTTTCTTTTTGAATCAATGAAACTTGACAGATTTTGATGAGTGCTCTTCCAATCCATGCGAGGCTGGTACGTGCGAGGACCGACTTGAGACGTTTGTATGTCACTGCCCGGAGGGATTAGAGGGGGACCGATGCCAGACCAGCACAGACTACTGCCTACCGTATTCCTGTCTGAACAGTGCAACTTGTTACAGCGAAAACCTAGCTTACACCTGTGTGTGCCCTGAGGGATATAACGGCACTCACTGTGAACTGGAAGTTGGTAAGAGCTTTGAATGGTGTTAGCACATAATGCTGGCCGTTACCTGCAGCACATTTGAATATCTAGCCATTTTTGGTGTTGTTATGGGCATTATTGCAACACTCAGACTAAATACCCCTTTTTTCTCATTGGTAGTCGATGGTGGGTGGAGTCCTTGGCCTCCCTTCAATGACTGCACCAAGACCTGTGGAGGTGGAATTCAGGTCCGCTCTCGCTCATGTGACAACCCTCGGCCCTTCAATGGTGGGCAGCCCTGCCCAGGAGAGGCCCATCAAACGCGAGAATGCAACACTGCCAAATGCCCAGGTTGGTAGACCCACTGCACTCAAGTCACATGCCATGTATTTTTCACAGTCAGCCTTAACTGACTAACTATTGTTTCATTGCATTCTCCTAGCTTGCATCACCTTACGCAAACCTTATCGAGGGGAGCTGGATTGCAATGAGACAGCCGACGGGGAAAAGTTTTGCAAAATATCCTGTCGTGAGGGCTACGCTTTTGACAGAGAAACCTTGGAAGTCTACCGTTGTGGGCCAAGAAGCCAGTATTCCTGGAACCATCAGACCGAAAACAATCCTTATGCAAGATTCCCTCAGTGTGTCAGTAAGTAGATTTTTGAGTGTCAAATGATAGATGGTTTTTGATGTCGAAGAATGATAAATTAGTACATGACATTTCATTTGCATTCTGTGGCTTGGTTTAAGGACAGCGATAAAGAGAGCAAGTCTTGAGTTAGTATATTCAAAGCCATAAGCAGCCGCTGCCCCGTATGAATGTTACTCAGATAAAAATCATGTTTTTGAGCATCCAGATGAGTCTGAAATGTTAACTTACTGAGAAAATAAAGAAAAGTCAGTCTGGCTTTTGGTAGTTGGATGCATGGTCGCTTTGGTGATGTAATTTGTTTGCATTTCACTTCAACATTTTGGTGCAATCTGCCAACTCCAACAAACTCTTTTCTGTTTCCTGTCCTATAGAATGTGTACCAAATGATGACAGAGGTCAGAACGTCTTCTTTTATTTGCCATCACGTGATTGTGACTCACAGAGTGCCAAAGCAAACATTAGGAAAATGATTGCAGAAAGCACCGCCATCAAGCAACAGAACTGTGTGGTGAAACAAACTTGTAATTCCGTCATTTGGGTGAGTGCAAAGTCGGTCAATTGTTAAAGACACTGTATTGGTTTGTTTCGATAGAAGTACCTTTCAGCATTTTTTTCAAATAGCCCCATCCAGCGGAAGCTCTGCTTCTTTCGCAGTCCCATAAGTTCACGGTAATTATCCTGTGTTGTCTTTGATCAATAAACAGTGTTGACCTTACACACAATCATTGCTAGTATGAGTATATTTCACTGTGACAAGCATGCGTCTTTAAATCACAGGATGTTAGACTTGAAAGGTCACTTGCTTTAGTTGTCGCAAGTTCTGTACATGATAAAGAAAGAATGCTTGAGTTCTACAGTTGTTTTAATGTCATACTAACTTTGAAATCACTTCCTCTTCGATGAAAAATTGGAAATACACAAAAATACAAATGGTTGTTACAAGTTTCAAGATTTGTTTCTAACAACAAAAAACTGGCTTTAGCTCTGTCTTTGTCCTTGAACCCAGGTTGGTAATTGCAATCATGGCAGTGGTCGTGTTGCTAGACAAGCAGCTACTGTCGTCGAGGTCGTAGTTTTGTTTTCATCGAATGAAACCACCAACAATGATACAGCAGGTTAGAAATACGAGGGTGTGAATGTTAACATTTGTCATTTATTAGCTTAGTAGATGCAGAATATGGGGCCAATTTCATAGAGCTGCTTAAGCACAAAATTTGCTTAATCGTGAACAGAATTTGCTTAAGCGTGAAAAAACTTTGCTTGACAAATCAGGTTACCAACCAAAACTCCATGTGATTTTGAATGGTATTCACCTGTTTTTTGATTAGTATGACAAACACATAGATTTTGAGCTGGTAACCTTTGTTTTTTAAGCAAGGTTTTTGTGCTTAAACAAATTTTGTGCTTAAGCAGCTCTATGAAATTGGCACTTGTGCACTAGAGTTTTCTTCCTAGGCAGTTTTTTCTTTTCAGACTTCTGGTTTTTTTCTCAGGTTGACTAATTAAAGTACACGCAGTACAAAGATCTTCTGGCAAGGCAAACATACAAGTAATGATTTGCTTTAGTTGTTATATGACAGTCCTTATTGGATGACTTGAAATTATTCATTAATTTCTGAAGCTGATAAGATTTTTAAATGATAGTATTATAATTACTCTCTGCAGTGTCCAACTTTTGCTTAGTGTTTATCTTGGACACTTCGTGAAAAGTCCAAATTTTTAGCTTAGCAGGTTGTTCCCAATGCTTATTTTTTATGTGTTCGCAATTGTTTAGGTGCTGAAGAGGCTGTTGGTAGTGTAGTTGATCTCATACATTCGGGTGAATTCACGGTGACCATTGATGGCGAAGCTGTACACCCTGATTCCCAGTCTGTTGTAAAGAACGCATGGACTTGGTGCCCAGAGGGGGCAGTTCCCACTGAAAGCAGAACTTGTGGTGAGTAATTTCTGGAGGAGCTTGCATTACTTGTAATGCAAGCGAGAGTGAGTTTATCTTTAATTTGAGTAACATTGATCAGACAACACTAGTTAATTGTTGTTGAATGAGTTTTAAATCAGCTTACAGGCCAGTTGTTGATTGCCAGATGTATCACACAATACAGCAACTAGGTGAGACTGTAAGTTGCTGAATGGAGTTTTACAGTATAGAGATCACGGACATTCACACATAGATCTTAGCATGTAGTTGCATGGTCTGCCATAGATAAACCCACCTGGCCAGGGGCTAGTGGTCTTGCTGGAATGATTTAATCTGGGCAGACAGAGCAGTCGGTTGCACACCCAGAGTATCAGCTGTACAGGGGAAGGGTTCCTAGCAGAAATAGAATAAAAATCCCCAGCAGTTTTGGGGTGACGGTATTTTGCAGATTGCGCGTTAACGGAAACTTGAACAGTTTACTGTTGTGAGATAAGTTGTAAAACCCGGTCATTAAAACTTAGGAGAAAGATCAGACGCCGCTCTTAGAGTTTGAAGTTATCCCTCCATTACATTGTGTTTTGTGGAATATGTAGGCCTTCAATCAGTATCCAGCCTGACTTGAATTACCCCCTTACCGGCAAAGAAGAGAGATTGGTATTGAACTATTCATGTAGGCACTTGTCAATGTACACATGGAAACAATTGGTCACAAGTGCTCGGTGCATCCTGAGCCAAATGCCCATGGACCTGTGCACGCACACAGTCAGCTCTCACTGACAGACCAGTTGTTGTACTATAAAGCACGCCCTCATTTGATCTCGCACGGAGCGTATAGCCAGTGGTTGTGCTAACATTAAACAGAACCATATCTTTTCACTTTGAGGCAGCACTGATGTATTCAATAGCATTTGTGGCTCTGTCCTGTCACAGTGACATGTGGGGAAGGAACTTTCTACACAATGTCACCTGACTTAGTGGATTATGAGTGTCGACCTTGTCCGGCCAATACCTACCAAGATCAGGTTGGCCAGCAAATCTGCATCATGTGTCCTTATGGTATGGTTACCAATGGATGGGGTGCCATTGACATCAGTGAGTGCTATGGTGAGTGGTTTGATGTCTTCCTTGAGTATGTCATGAGCATTATTGAGCAGAAAGCAACAAAAAAGTCATTGGCTTCTGATTCTTGATTTCCTTTTATTTGTATTGGAATAACCATAATAAACATTTAATGTGGGATTTCTACACCAACCAGTTTGAAATTCAATCCATTAGACAGGCCCATCGGGAGGTATAAAAATTGGGGGGGTGGGTACCAGTGTTTTCCATCCTTAGGTAATCAATTTTTGCGAAGCCAGGGCGTGGGGTTCTGAGCCCGCTCAAGGGTCCCGGAAAATTTTGAATTCTAGATGCTCTCTGGTGCAATCTTGAGGACTTTCTGGGCCACTTACTTTTGTAATTTGGCCCCAAATCTACTTGTTTTACACCATGCGTCCAAATCACGCATGCCTTCATTGTGGTCCAACAAGCATCACTTATGTGGACCAGTGTGCCGGGGGCATGGTGAAATTGGCCCCCTTGGAAGTTATAGGGCTTAGCCCATAAAGCAAGGAATGCTTAACCATGACTTTGTGTATCAATATTTTTTGTAAAGGTAAACATCAGACAAAAGTTATTATGCTCATTATGACTGACTCAAGAAGGGCGATCTAGGGTTCACTGTTCTTGCGATCGAACTGCAGAAATGTGACCTGCGAGAACATTGCATCATCATAATCTGGGACAAGGACAAGTACCCCCTAGCACGAGCTACAGTGCAACCACTTACCAGGCTGTCAGTCAGGGGTTATCGCGTTCGAGTGAGCCACTCATGTTATCCCAGGGTACATGCAGGGAGCACGCGTATACTGACTCCTGATAATGCGCACGCATCCTACCAAGCTACCAGGACTAGCCGTTCGAACGCACCTTTGGAACATTTACAAGAACATGACGTAATTTGACACAACGTCCAAGACGATAAAAGATGGCAGATAATCGAGACAAAACAGGCAAAGTCAGCGTAAAGTGTGCCTTTCCAAACGTTTTGAACACTAGCCTTTTCTGAACAAACTTATCATACTTTCATACTTTTATTTTTTCCGCGTCT